CCAGGGCCAATGTGCTCCGTTTCATGTCCAATGGAGCTAACACTTCGGCCGGAAAGGACCGCATTGTCCTCTTCGACACAACGCTGCGAGACGGTGAGCAATCACCAGGCGCCACGCTCAACTTCAAAGAAAAGTTGGACATTGCACGCTCCCTTAGCGCGCTAGGCGTGGATGTATGCGAGGCGGGTTTCCCTATATCGTCACCTGGTGATTACGACGCCGTATCAGCCATAGCTAAGGAAGTTGGTCCAGTTGTAGGGAAGCGCGCCACAGGCGAGCCAATGACCATTTGTGGTCTTGCTCGCGCCATGGAGAAGGACATCCAGCGTTGTTTTGACGCCGTTAAGCACGCACCTAAGCACCGTATTCACACATTCCTTGCTACGTCCGACATCCACCTCAAGTATAAGCTCAAAATCTCGCGCGACGAGTGCATTCGTCGTGCCGTAGACGCCGTAAAGTTTGCAAGGAGCCTTACTCCAGATGTTGAATTTTCCACCGAAGACGCTGGTCGCAGTGATCCGGAATTCCTATGTGAGGTCCTTGCCGAGGTCATTAAAGCTGGAGCCACCACACTTAATATACCCGACACAGTTGGCTACACGGTCCCAGGTGAATACGGATCGCTTTTTCGTTACTTAATTGACAACACGGAAGGTAGTGATAAAGTCATCTTCTCCACGCACTGTCACAATGATCTGGGTCTTGCTACAGCAAATACTTTAGCTGCTGTGCAAGGTGGCGCCCGTCAAGCTGAGGTTACTATCAATGGAATCGGCGAGCGTGCCGGTAATACGGCTCTTGAAGAGCTCGTGATGGCTTTGAAGACACGACCTCAGCACTTTCCAGTGTACACGACGGTAGACTCGACGCACATCACACGCTGTAGTCGTATGGTCAGCCATTACACTGGTATGTCGATTCAGCCCAACAAGGCCATTGTTGGATCCAATGCTTTTGCTCACGAATCTGGCATTCATCAAGATGGGGTTTTGAAGCACCAGGCGACATACGAAATCATGCTGCCTGAGTCAGTTGGTCTTAGCGAGAATAAGATGGTGTTGGGTAAGCACTCTGGTCGTCACGCTTACAGCAAGCGCCTCCAACAACTTGGCTACACCAGTCTCACTCCGGAGGAGCTTGATTATTACGTTGAGAAGTTCAAAGTATTGGCAGATGAGAAGAAAACAGTCACTGATGCTGACATGGAAGCCATTGTTTCGGACGAGCTTTTCAAGCCAGAGGTGTTCTGGACCTTGCAATCTGTGCATGTCACCGCGGGCAATCTGGTAAAACCGACGGCAACTGTCACACTTGTGCATAAGGACGGTCAAGAAGTGAGTGAGGCTGCGATGGGTACCGGTCCAATTGACGCAATCTACATTGCCATCAAACGCGCTACGGGAATGGAGAGTATCAAATTGAACGATTTTTCTGTCGAGAGTGTAACGGATGGCACCTACGCCCTGGGCGAGGTGACTGTACGGGTGCAGGATGACAAAGAAGAGGAGGAGAAGACAGAGGATGAGAAGCACGTGAATGCGCAAACGGGTGTGACGCGTGACCGCCAATTTGTCGGCCACGGGGCTAATACGGATATCTTAGTTGCTTCTGCTACCGCCTACGTCAACGCTGTTAACCGCATGATGGCATCACATGCACGTGGGATAGTGGAAGCTCGGGTGAATACCTAATATCATGATAAAATACACCATGAGTCTTTTGTCACACAGACACTCGCAGATTTGAGCAAGGTATTGCAAGGTCACTAATGACACCATATCAAAAGGTGCTAGCTGTGTACGTATGATCAAACTGGCGTGTATGTTCTTCTTTACAGTAGCATAAAAATGAAGTACTCACGGCCATGTACGATGCGAGCTTAACCTTTTGTCAGCTAATTGCTCTAGAGTCGCTTAAGTCTGTGCTGCTAGTCTGTGATTTCATCGCAGAGCAATCAGAGAAGCTATTTCCAATGTGTTGAATCTGTAAAGTGCGGGAAGTATTGCGATGATTGGCTTTGATTTGGCGATCGGTACCAGTATTTAAGTAACATTCTGGCAGACAAGCAGAAAATGCGTGTTGCCTATCCCGTCCTAGCTGTTGACAATAAATGCGGCATTAAAGCATTCACATAGGCGATGGCTACGCGTGCTGGGCTGTAGTGCTTACAGACTTTGAGGCTTCGATTATGTCCTGCCCAAAGCTCATGCTGCGTTCTTCGTGATCCAATCAAAGTCATTCTACCGCCAGAATCGTCATGCGGGCTTCGATTGATTTTATCACGTTGAACTTCTGTGAAACGCCTAGAACTTCAGCATGTCCTCTGGCTCGCGTTTCTTTTAAGAAAAGATAACAAGATTTGTTATCTACACTTGACCTCATAATTTCAGAATTGCAGTATGCGTTGTGTATTAAGGGAATTATATATAACATCTGAATAGCTTGCAACACAGCACGACCCCGATTACAAACCCGAGCAGCACGTGGACTTTTGGTACGATGTGAGAGCTTGCATGACACTTTGAAGTTTAGACTAATTAAGAGCTCTTCTAAGAATTAAACTTTATTAATTGCTTGTAGTTGTCATGAATACTTCGGCGCTAACGTGTATATCTTTTGACATGGGATTTTCATGAACTTTGGACAATGGAAGCTTTGACTCTAGGTAAGCAGGTTGCGTACGTGTGCTTGTAACCGAGAGCCTCAACGATGGCTAGGCGTAACGGAGCAGATATTGTGATCTTTTGTGTTTATTCCTACACATTTAGTGCAAATAAGATGGAATATCACCATTTGATGAAATTAAAAGAGCAATAAAGAGGGGTGCACGTAGGACATGCAGATAACTGACAGTTTAATGCTGAAAGATAATAGAGCGTAAACATCCTAATGAGTATTGATCCTGAGTTTATGTTTTCTTAAGTAGCAGAGCTAACTAGCCACCTAGTAACGGTAGAGGCTCTCAGTTTTGCTCCTGGTAAGAGCGCACGAAGTAAACGTATGTGAGGGGACTAACGGATTTTTACGAATAGAAGTCCTTCTACTATTACAAGCTCCCATCGAATTTTCGAGAAATAAAAGACCGCTTCGATTAAAAGACCTCTTCAAATAAAAGACCGCTGTAAACACCTAAATATTGGGCCGTTATTCTGAATTCA